AAAATAAGAAACATGGAGATTCAAAAGACCCAAACTATATGAATAAACAATATTAAATGCAATGCCCTTGTAGAATGTTATGTGGAAAATTTAAAAACAAAATAATACATAAGCCACCAGTATGTGGATTTATTTTTCCAAGTATCTTCTGTAGTTTACAATTAGCCTGATTGTATTAATTTTATCTCTACACATGATAATTTTTCAGGGGATAGGATTAAATGATAAAGCTTCCAAGTAGTAGATGTAAATGGTATTTGTTGAGTCTTGTAGACAGAAAACAAAAAGTCACTTTGTCTGTTGAGTATATTTATATATAAGTTTATTTGAAAAGGGCACAGAATTGTTTGTATTGCCTATAGTTAAGAGTAAAAGTAGAGGTATTCTTCAGTTTGAAGTAATAGGATTTTACTTGGCTATAAGATTTTGTGACAATTTGAAAGGCAAAAAAATGCAGGAAGTTTGAACTGAAGGAGGTGTTGAACTTGCAGTAATTCTAGCCTGAGTGGAGAGCATAAATGGACAGTGGGTTAGATTAGCACTTTGTTTAAACCTAGCAGCTGTCTGTAGGCTATTCTTAACTTAATGACTTCTATTTTGAGCTTCAGTTACCAATATTCCCTTCATCTATAAGGCTTAAATGTCTGGGGATCTTTTTGCAGGATTAGTCAGTTTTATTTGTATCAAGAAGGAATAATCACAACAGAAGTCAAAGTGTTAGATCTTGTCTTTTGTATCATGAATATATAATTAGTTAAGCAATGAATAATGTGTTAGAAATTATTTGAAAGCACAACCAATCCATAAGAAAAGCTGATTTTGTAATACCATCTTTTGGGAGTTTTTTCCTGTGAGTACTTATGACTTTTACATGAATAAACATAAAATTCTTCTGTCTTCATCTAGATAACTCTGCATGAGTTTTCTCTGTACTGACCTTTGTATTCTGACTAGTTTCAAGTGATTTCAAAACTGTAATGACCCAAACTTTGAGTTTCTATATTTCCTGATATTTGAATGGATAACTTCTTGTCCTTTAATTACATATAATTTCCATTTTTATATACCATCCTGCTTTAAATTCTTTTTTTCCCAAATAACTAGTTGATGGAAACTTGAGAGTCAAAAGACAAATTTTCAACTTTATCAGCTGATAGAGATTCACCGAGAAGCTCTTCCAAGTGGCCGAGTACTTAAAAGATCCTGGAGATATAGTCTTACAGAAATTACATAATTTTTGAAAAGTGGTTCCAAAAAGTAATCAAAATATTGCATCATAATATTCCTTTTTCTTAATTGAACTTCTTTTAATAATCATACAAAGTTTCATAATTTCTTAATCCTTTTCAGATTTTCCTCTTATTTTATCTTTTCTTCCCCGTAAATTCTCTTCATTTTACTAATTCTGCATATTCTACTTTTTGTTTTGCTCCAGAATTATTTCACTATTTCTACTCATCTTCCTTAAAAACAATGGGGTATCTCCTGAAGTTCATGGATAAGTTTATTTTGCTGCCGTAGAATTTTGAAATTCATGCACAGTTTTTTCCAAATAAACATTTCCACAAACTTTTAAAATAACTTTCTAGTAATAAGACATATTTTCATGTCTTTTAAAGTCATCCAATATATCCCCCTCTGTTTTTAAGAAAATATTTATTTGTTCCTATTGTGTATCTTGTTAGAATCTGTGTTATAAGATTTAGGATACACTGAAGAGAAGACAAATGCTCTCATTAGCTTTATGGGGATTGAAATGTCATTGAGAAGGAGAACTTTAACAAATAACCAATGAATTACATTTGCAATGAATTCTATAAAGAAATATATACTATCAAATATACTTTGATAGTAAATACATTAAGTTTATAGAAGAAAGTCTATATACTGATCACTGAATGATCATGGCGATTATATTCTATTAATGTATACTAGGAGATAGTTAATTTATTATGGGAATATCTTTTTTAAGAAAAATTTTATTTAATAAATATACATTTTGAAAGTACAACTTTTGGATTATAACAGTTCTCCCCCCCTCATAATCTCCCTCCTATCTTCAAACCATCCCATCTCCTACTCCCTCTCCTATCCCATTCTTCATTAAGATTCATTTTTAATTATCTTTATATACAGAAGATCAACTTAGGATATAGTAAGTAAAGATTTCAACAGTTTGCACCCACACAGAAACACAAAGTGTAAAGTTCTGTTTGAGTACTAGTTATACCGTTAATTCACATACTACAGCACAATAAGGACAGAGATCTAAATGGGGAGTAAGTGCTCATGACTCCCATCGTTGATTTAACAATTGACACTCTTATTTATGACGTTAGTAATCACCTGAGGCTCTTGTCATGAGCTGCCAAGGCTATGGAAGCCTCTTGAGTTCGCCAAGTCTGATCTTATTTAGACAAGGCCATAATCAAAGTGGAAGTTCTCTCCTCCTTTCAGAGAAAGGTACCTCCTTCTTTGATGGCCCGTTCTTTCCGCTGGGATCTCACTCACAGAGAGCTTTCATTTAGGTCATTTTTTTTTTTTTTTTTTTTTTTGCCACAGTGTCTTGGCTTTCCATGCCTGAGAAACTCTCATGGGCTTTTTAGCCAGATCTGAATGCCTTAAGGTCTGATTCTGTGGCCAGAGTGCTGTTTAGAGAATGGGACTATCTTTTAGATGCTGAGTTTTTTTTCCCTAAGTATACTTGGGAGAAATTTCCCAAGAGATATTTGAGAGCCAAATATGTAAATGATACAATATTATTATTTTCAAGTGCACGGTTTTCTCAATCACAGAGATCACTATTTCCCTCTTTTTATTTATATAAGGTGAACAAGTTTCAAATATTTCATATATACAGATTTAGGAGCATAGTGTGTGATAGCATGCTTCCTCCCACCCATACTCCAACCCACCCTCCTCAATTTTTACATTGACATGCTATTAGTTTATTTTATAATCATAAGATTAATCCTCTAGGCCGGCACCGCAGCTCAATAGGCTAATCCTCCACCTGTGGCGCCGGCACACCGGGTTATAGTCCCGGTCGGGGCGCCGGATTCTGTCCCGGTTGCCCCTCTTCCAGGCCAGCTCTCTGCTATGGCCTGGGAGTGCAGTGGAGGATGGCCCAAGTCCTTGGGTCCTGTACCCGCATGGGAGACCAGGAAAAGCACCTGTCTCCTGGCTTCGGATCAGCGCGATGCGCCGGCCGCAGCGCACCAGCTGTGGTGGCCATTGGAGGGTGAACCAACGGCAAAGGAAGACCTTTCTCTCTGTCTCTCTCTCTCACTGTCCACTCTGCCTGTCAAAAAAAAAAAAAAAAAAAAAAGATTAATCCTCCATGAAGTAAAGAATTCAACAAATAATAAAAGAAAAAACACAGTTCCTCAACAGTAGCGACAAGGATGTAATCAATTCTCAAAATGTCAATTTTGCTCATGTACATTACATTTTTGTATTCTATTAGTTACATATCAGAGAAAACATGGTATTTGTTGTTTGGGGACTGGCTGTTTCACCAATTATCAGGGTTTCCATTTGCATTCTTTTTGTTGTGAAAGATAGGATTTCATTCTTTGTTATGGCTGAGTAGTATTTCATAGTGTATATGTACCACCATTTTTATCCAGTCATTGGATTGTGGGCATCTGTGTTGATTCCACATCTTAGCTATTGTGAATTGAGTTTCAATAAATATGGAGGTACAGATAACTGTCATATGCTGATTTTTATTTCATGTGGGTAAATTCTCAAGTGTTGGATGGCTGGGTAGAGGATGAGTTTTGATGTTTTCTGCTGGCCAATAACCATTTTAACTTATTTATCTGTTCATCTATTTCATGTGTTGAGCACTGTTAAGAGCAATTAAAGTGTAAATAATAGTAACCGAATACCAATGTGTGGAATACCTACATACCAAATGGATGCTTATGATAATTATTTTATCCCACAACTTATCCTGTGAATTTAGTATTTTTAGTAGCAGTTTTATAGATAAATATACTGAGATTCAATAGTGTAAGTAACTTGTTCAATATCAATATCAGTGGATTTCCCCAGTATATATCTTGGTTGTTTGAATCCAAAGCCCATATTATTTCCGTCATGCTATTTTACTTCTCTAAATAAAATTAATTACAATACAGTGTGATAATCCTTATATAGATGTTTGGACTAAATGATTTACATTACACAATGGTGCCATTCCTAGGTTTAAGTTTTTCAAATTATCTACTAAAGTTGATAAGGCAAGGATTCTCATGATATCGTAGGCACTCCGCACCTCCATGCAGTCGTACAGTACTTCATGGACTGATACTTTACCAGAATACAAACCAGACACTTGGGTTTAGTTGTAATGTGAGATTGCCAGAGAAGTTTCTAAACACTTGTAATTTCTGTACTTAATGTGGTAGAAACTGTTAAGTGATGTTTCATGGACCTGCACCATTTTGTGGAGCTCTTTATTGCTTCAGGAAATTCAAACTTAAACAAGCTATAACCACTAATGTGAAGATGGTTGCATCTACTTGTTGAGTTAGGCTTGTACCCATTTAAAAATTATAGGAACAAAAATACAAGGTAGTATTCTGGTAAATATTTAGTAAACTTTAAAGATAAATGTTTTTGCAGATATGGAAGGTGGGAAAAAAAGTATTATTTACCAAAGCAAAGATTATAGGATGCAGGGGCCCAAGCACTTGGGCTATCTTCTAATACTTACCCAAGCCATAGCAAAGAGCCACATCACTGGCCCCAATAATAGCTATTTCAAGAGATGTGAGGTGATATCTCATTGTTATTTTAATTTGCAATTTTCTGATGATAAGCGATAAATGAGTATTTGTTCATATATCGATTCACTTTTAAGTTGCCCTTAATGTTAACATAAATTTAAGTAAGCTTTCATAACTTTGACTTCCTTCTAGTTCTAGCTTTTGATTTAATTATCATAATTTACATTTTTCTTGTTCTTCTTCAGGTAGTACTGCCAACAAAACTAATGGATGTTGCAAATCACTCTGTTGTGTCAGAATTTGTGTTGCTGGGACTCACCAATTCCTGGGAGATCCAACTTCTTCTCTTTGTATTTTCCTCCATGTTTTATGTGGCAAGCATGACAGGAAACTCCCTCATTGTGTTCACGGTAGCTTCTGACCCTCACTTGCACTCCCCCATGTACTTTCTGTTGGCCAATCTCTCTTTCATTGACTTGGGTGTTTCTTCTGTCACATCCCCCAAAATGATTTATGACCTCTTCAGAAAGCACAAAGTCATCTCCTTTGGAGGTTGCGTTGCTCAGATCTTCTTCATCCATGTCATCGGTGGTGTGGAGATGGTGCTGCTCATAGCCATGGCCTTTGACAGATACGTGGCCATTTGTAAACCCCTGCATTATCTGACTATTATGAACCCACGAATGTGTGTCTTCTTTTTAGTGGCTGCCTGGGTGATTGGCCTTCTGCACTCTGTGGTTCAGTTGGTTTTTGTAGTAAACCTGCCCTTTTGTGGTCCTCATGTGTTGGACAGCTTCTACTGTGACCTTCCTCGGATCATCAGACTTGCCTGCACAGACACCTACCAACTGGAGTTCATGGTCATGGCCAACAGTGGGTTCATCTCGGTGGCCTCCTTCCTCCTACTGGTCATTTCCTATGTTGTCATCATGCTCACTGTTCACAAACACTCATCCGCTGGTTCATCCAAGGCTTTGTCCACACTTTCAGCTCACATCAGTGTGGTAGTCTTGTTCTTTGGTCCACTGATATTCTTCTATACCTGGCCATCTCCTTCCACACACCTGGATAAGTTTCTTGCCATCTTTGATGCAGTTCTCACTCCTGTTTTGAATCCTATGATTTACACATTCAGGAATCAAGAAATGAAGGCAGCGATGAGGAGAGTGTGTAGACAGCTAGTGAGTTACAGGAAAATCTCCTAGGTGATTGCCTGGGTTGTTGAAGAAAACTCATAGAATACAGAAGTTCACTGATGACGTACCAAATCAGAGGATGGTTACTCTTCTACCTCTCTGTTCACTTATACATACTCGTATTAATTGTATTCTGTCTTCCAATAGGAGGGAAGGATATTCTCTTCTTCAAAAAAGAAGGGGTTACATGTATATATGTTAATCTTGAACCTCAATTCCTAAGGAATAATAGTTACACAAAGTAATTCTTAGAAATAAAAAAATGGCAAGCTTTACTGTAAGGATAAAGTTTCTCTTTTTATCAGGAGTTTGTTTCATTTCTGGCACTGCCCCTCAATGTATTTATAGGAAGATTGAATTTAGTCTTTTTTTAAAAGATTTATTTATTTGAAAGTCAGAGTTACAGAGAGATAGGGAAGAATAGAAGAAAGAAAGAGAGAGAGAAAGGAGAAAGGAGAGAGGAGAGAGGAGAGAAAGAGAGAGAGAGAGAGAGAGAGAGAGAGAGAGAGAGAGAACGTTCTATCTGCTGGCTCACTCCCCAGATGGCCGCAACAGCTTGGGGGCTGGGCTGGTTGCCAGGATTTTCTTCCAGGTCTTATACATAGGTGGCAGGGGCCCAAGTACTTGAGCCATCTTGCAGTGCTTTTTTCAGGCCATTAGCAGAGAGCTTGACTTGAAGTAGAGCAACCTGGACACGAAGTGATGCCCATATGGCATGTCATTGTTGCTGTTGGTGGCTTAACCCACTATGCCACAAGGCTGGCTCCAAATTTAATCTTTTTTCTGCATTCTGTGACTTGACTATACTGTATCACACCCTAGCATTTATTCTAGGACTGGGCAAGGTGGGCATAATCTTGAGAGCACTCACAGAGTGCTCTAATGAGTGTATGTCTTTGGGTAGAAACTGTGTGAACTGTTTTTGTAATAACAAGAAATAAATGAGAAAATACCATGATTGCTCCTTCCCATTATCATTAGTGCCTGTCGAACTCATTGTTTTCCCTTCTCCTTTTTCCTCAAATACTTTATGGTCTTGGCAGTATTAAGTTTTTCTCTTCCTTTCCCTTTCAGCTTTCCCCTTTTCTCTTTCTTTAAATCACTCTCCCCTTTCTCCTTCACTTCCTTTAACCCCATGCCCTATTTCCTTGTGAGTTTACTTTACTGCCCTCTTAAATTGCTCTCTTGTTATGGAATGCCTACTCCATAGGCTTCTTGACTTGATGAACCTTTTTTTTTAAGCATGGGACTGAGCTGTGCTAGAATCATGGAAAGCAAAGACTTTTTAAAAAATATTTATTTTATTTATTTGAAAGACAGAGTTACACAGAGAGGTAGAGCCAGAGAGAGAGAGAGAGAGAGAGGTTTTTCCATTCCATTGGTTCTCTCCCCAAATGACTGCAGTGGTCAGAGCTGAGCTGATATGAAAGCAGGAGCCAAGATCTTCTTTCAGGTCTCCCATGCAGGTGCAGGGGCCCAAGAATTTGGCACATCTTCTATTGCTTTCTCAGGCCATAGCAGAGAGCTGACAGTGCCTCACATAAAGGAATATAATGTACGTTGGTTTATATACTGTGACCCACTTGCCATATGGAATTGAAGTTTCACATAACAAGAGGTATTTTTTAAAAAATATTTATTTATTTATTTTGAAAGTCAGAGTTACAGAGAGGGACACACACACATCTTCCATCTACTGGTTTATTCCTCAAATGGCTGCAATGGCCAGTACTGGGCCAGGCCAAAGCTGTGAGCCAGGAACTTCTTCTAGGTCTCCCATGTGGGTGTCAGGGGAGGGTCCCATGTGCTTGGGCCATCATCTCCTACTTCTCCATGCCATTAGCAGGGAACTGAATTGGAAGTGGAGCAGCGGGGACACGAATTGGCACTCATATGGTATGTTGGTGTCATAGGCATTGGGTTTACCTGTTACCCCACAACTCCGACTGCCCAATAATAGGTATTTTTATAAAATAATTTTATTTTCTTTTATTTCCCTTGTCTTCTGTGTTGTTACAAACTTAAGTTTAAAGCTCACTAACGTGATTTCATAATCCACAAATGTATTGCGGTTGCTTCTAGGCACTATTGTTCATAAGCATAGAATTATGTCTTGTTTATCTGTGTTCTGGTTTATTTTTGTATTAATGTGGATAAATAGATTACTAGCTTGTAAGAATGACTTATAGAAAAATGCATTTATTGGAGTAAATGACTGAGAATCTCAATAGTAAAACAAATGTTGAGCTACCTGATAAATTCTCTGTCCTACATATCTGTAGTGGGACTTAATATTTACTTCCAGTAAATAGCTGTTCTGTGTTTAATATATTCTACTGAATATCTCTGATCTCCTTTTTAATGCTTTTTCCCCTAAATTTTGACTTTCATAGTGGGAAAAAAACAAAGAGTCATCATAGATGAATTATCAGAAAATAACATGTCAATAAAGGTATCTATGCTCCTTGTATATCTATATAAGGTTGGTCATATAAATTTGTATATCTCTACAAGAATAATTGTAGCAGAGCTAGCTATTAACGAACATGACATATAATTAAAAAACATACTACAAGAACTTTAGCTCTTTCATAGACATTTAGCTTTTTATTTTTTGAATAATGAAGCATATAATGTAAGCATAAAGTACAATGAGTTATGGATTACAGAAAAACCAACAAAGGAAATTACACAGAAGGTAGAGAGTAACATTTACTGTCTTTTGTTAATAGCAGAGTGAATAAATAATGATATATAGTTCAAGAAATTTTAACATAGAAAAAATTCTAGTCTTGCTTTAACATCATTCTCTAGAGTCTCTTTGGGTAGCATGACTTAAGACTAAAGGTTCTGGCTTGTTTGACTTAATATTTCCAAAGGGCTTTACTCCATATAGGCCAAATAGATTGAATATAAATGTTAATCTGTCTTGAAAGTTAGTATTTGGTTTCCTATCCAATTTTTTCCCACATTGGGTAGGCTTTCTTACTTTAAAGGTAAAGATTAATTTTCAATTCACCTGATTTGTTTCACTATGCAGTTGAATTTTTTTCTGTCTTTTCAGTTCGTTGTTTTCTTTACTAACAGGGACTAATCTGAAAAAGAAGGAGCACTAAGGTCAAAGATGTAGCATGTGTAGAAAGCAACTTTCACTTCTTTAGGATTCAGAAATGAAAGGAAGAGTTTGGCATTATGAAGATAGAAAAAAGACCCTAACATGAAAAGTGTGGAGGAAGGACCCGTGGATATGAAAGCCTCTTGGTACAGGGCCTCTGAGGAAGAAACTGATGATGCCGGTAGCACTGGCTGTTGCAGGTGTTCCTGATGATGGTGTGAGGGTATGTGATACTCTAGCATTGGAAAAACTCCAAAGGGATTCAGCTGCTGCTCTGGGAAGGCACCAAGGTGACCAGGTGAAGAGTGTGGTTGACTGATTATAGTATGCATGGCAAGCAGGGTGGAAGACCACTAGGAACAAACAAGAGGAACCAAATCCTTTCCACTTCCAGCACTGCGTCCTCTTACTAGTGCCCTCTTATGGCAGGAAAAGAATTTGCAGAGCCCTAGTTCTTGTGTCACAGAGTGTAAATAGATAAATGGGAGCTGAGAAATTATAGCTTCTAAAGTATATGCACTTACGTAAAGAATTTTTAAAAGACATTACAGTTATTTTACTTATTTCCTTTCAGTCTTTTAAGAATACATAGTAGTATTTATTTTTTAATGGAAAAATGATAATTGTATATTTATGGAGTATAAGGTGATTTAAAAATTTTATTTGAAAGTGGGGGAGAGACATAAAAAGACTCTGAAAGACAGATGGACAGACAGACAGACAGACACACACACACAGAGCTTTCATATGCTTTTCATTTCCCAAATACATACAAGCACTGCAACAGGATTGGGGCTAGGGCATTTAATCCAAATCTCTCACATGAGAGGCAGGAACCAAATACTTGAGCTGTCACTGCTGTCTCCCACAGTCTACATTTGCAAACACCTGGAGTCAGGAGCCCAAGCCAGGAATCGAACACAGTTACTCCATTATAAGACTCCCTGCATGTCTTAACTGCTAGGCTAAATGCTTGTCCCCAAATCCAAGTTCTCTTAACTAACAATTTCCCTATCCTAAAATACTCACTGAAGAAGGTTTACTGTTTGTACACACACACACACACACACACACACACACACTCAGCCATGTACCACCTACTATCTCCCACCTATTTTTTAGATAACATACTGCATAACTACATAGAATTCGAACTTGTTCCTAGTGTCTTCAGGGAATTTGACTGTATGGATGAAGCAAAATTACTTTGGTTTATCTCAGCTATCAGATTTTTTAGTTGTACTTTTAAGCTCTATTAACTGGAATGAACTTCTGGACAGCTAAATCTTTGAACATACCATAATTACTTGGTATATAATACATAAAAATCACTGTGGTATACATTCTTCTGCTATTTAAACCTTAATAAAAATTGCTTCTCTGGCAATATCAAGTGATTATAGTTAACTTTGTAAGTTAATATTTATAAATTTTCAGGGATGAATTATAGTAGGGAATTATATTATTTACAAGAAAGTACAAATATTTTAAAAACTCTACTCTTGCTTTTGTCTTCTCTCTAGGGTTTTAAGAGCTGTTGGTGGCACTGACCAAAGCAAATAGTTCTCTAGGGACAAAGTCCCTGATCTGTGAGTTCCTTCTAGACTATCATTTTTTTTTCTGCAGTATCACTTGGTCACTGTTTTCTTAAGGTATATATAATTAGTTTAATATCATCCTAAGGAAAGACTTTACATGGCAATTTTGTGTTACAGACCATAGGAAAATCTCCTTATACAGGTAAAAGGGAAGAAGGGAAATAAATTTAATGGGAAGGGAGATTTTAGTTCCAGACATGATTTTGCTGTTGGAATTGCTGTGAGCATGAGTCATGTCTTCAATATATGAGTCTCCCCCTAAAGCAAAGTGGATAATATCGAGGATAAGGAATTCAATAGGACGGGAGAACGAGGGTGAAAAATATTTTTGTCATTTCAGAAAGGCTAATTAAACTAAATTTTCACTTGGAATCACATTGCGCTTAGAGATATGCAAATGACATTAGAAGAAATTCAAATGACTTTGTAATATTTTGGATTCAGCATTGATTACAGTTACTAAGTTCCCATGATGATGATTAGATGAATGATTGTCACTCAGTCACTTGATAAAAACTGATTACATGCAAAAACGAGAGAACAAATGTTGTTATCTTTTTCTCTCAATTTGCTTCCCAAAAGAGATGGGTATAAATAGATCGTATTATATAAAAGGGACATCAAGTTTGTCAGTAGCTTGTCAAGTTTGAAAGATGCAAAATAGTCTCATAGACACCTGAATAGAGATAAGAGACCTGGCGACCCACAGAATCAAGTCTAAATAAATAATTTCCAATGTAATGTCATTTCAAATTGTGTTGTAGAAATTTTAGAAACGATAAACTACCAGGAGAAGTTTTTTTAATTGCTATTTCCTGTGCTATAAAATTTGAGTGCTTGTATTAGTTTTATTTCTAAGTTGTAAGAAGAACAAATAAGTATTTGAGAAAGAGATCCTAAGAGTGAATATAAAAGGTGTTGTTTGTTGAGTCTTGCAAATAGTAAGGATGACTTAGTTTGCTGCATTTATGAACCAAAGTTAATTTGAAAGTGACACAGAATCATTTATATTGCGTATAGATATAAGTAAAATTAGAGATATTGTTAAATTTGAGGAGATATTGTTAAATTTGGGTATAGAAAGATTTCATAAATACTTGTAAGGCAAAACACAGAAGATTTGAGACAAGAGATGTGTTGACCTTGCAATATTTCTAGGCTGAAGAGGAAATATATGTGGAATATGGTTTATATTAGCACGTTGTGCAAACCTAGGAGCTGTTTGTGAGTTCCTTTTAACTTTATGACTGCTGTTGGGAATTCTAGTTACTGATATTTCCCTATTTCCCTAATCAGAGAGGATTAAATGCCTAGAAATCTGTTTTGGATGATTAATATGCTCTATAAGGGCCAAGAAAAAGCATTAATTGCAACACAGGACAAAAAAGGCCTTATATTTTGTGTTATGGATATGTGTGAACTTAACATGTTTGTTTAAATAAAACTTAAATATAAGTGTAATTAATGTCTTTAAGAAAAATTATTTCAAAGCACAGCTAATTTGTTAGAGAAGATGATTTACAAGAATGTCCTCGTGGCTATTTACGACTTCTGGGTGAATGAAGATGTTCTTTAGGCTCCTTTAGAAACTTCTGAATAATTTCTTTTTCCGGATTGAGATTTGGATCTTGACTAAGTCTCAAGTGATTTCAAAACTGTGATGACCTAAACTTTTTGAGATTTTGTATTCCCTGATGTTTGAGTGGATAGCTTCTCATCATTTTAGTACATCTGGCTTCTATCTTTATATATCATTGTGCACTCAACCCACTTTTCAAAAAAATTCTTGGTTCTTATATAATTGACAAGTATCAAATCCCAATATTCTTTTTTTTAAATCCCAATATTCTTAACTGCTGTGTTAAATTCTTGACCATTTTCCTTTTAGTCTCTTTTATTTCTTCTTTTTCTCCACATATTCTTCATGTTTATGATGCTTTGTTTTTTATTTTTCTCTGTCCCTTCAAACTTTGCAGTCTTTTCACCTGTGTTCCTTAATTACATAATCAGAGATATTTTCATGTGTTTTAAAATCATCCAAATGCATCTTCTATCTTAGATCAAATGTTTGTTTTCTCCTATTGTGAACCTGATGTGATTCTAAATCTTGGAATACACTGAGAAGACAGATGCAACCTTCAGCTTCATGAGGAAATTGAATAACTAATTAATGAATTACATTTAAAGTAGAGTATGAAAATTATAGTGTTCTTTGAGAGCAGACATGTTATATTTACACAGGAAAGTTTATATTTTGGTCACTAAAAGAATGTAAATATTACAATCTATTAATAGATAAAGGAGAAAATCATAATTTGTTACTAAATTACATTGTATATGTGGAATTTCGGTGCTCTGTGTTGGCAAATACCATTTTACTTGCTTATTCATTCATTTATTTTGTGGGTTGAGTATTATTATGGGTTTCTGAAATAAACCGAAACAAAATTAACATTTACTGAGTATCTAAATATTGACTTCCTCTATATAAATATGACATTTTGAAACTTAAATTATTCTATTTATATAACCTACCCTGAGAAGTATTGGAAGTATTATTAATTGGAATTTCATAGACAACCTGAGGTTCAAAAGTTTAAATAACTCGCCATATTGTCAACTCATCGTGGCTGAATCATGCTACAAATGTTGATTTTTGGAATCCAAATTCCATATTCTTTCCATTATGTTTCTCTGAATAAAACAAAAATGACAAAATGATGTGACAAGTCTTTACACAGAGATTTGAACAAAATACTTTGCACTATACTATGGTGCCCTTCATAGGCTTAAGGTTTTTAGATAATGTGCTAATTTCTCTATGACAGTGATCTTCACATTATTTTACCAACCTCCATCCATGCCAATGTTTCATGGACATATTTTACCAGAATATGAAATTAGACACTTGGGTTTCACTATAATGTCCGATTGCTAGAGAAATTTCTAAACACTCACTCCATAATTTCTGTACCTAACACAATATAGATTGGTAACCAACAGCTCATGGATCTTCACCTCTCTTCACCTTTTTCATTGCTTTAGAGAAGCTAAAAAAACATAAATTATAATTACTACCTTTAAGCTTACATGTGTTAGTTCTTATAATCAATTTACTAAATTAAAGAAACAGTAAAATAAATGATAGCAATATAGAGGAAGACCTCATAGTTATGATAAATATTTAATCTTGAATATACATAATTTCCAAAGAAGGGGAGTTGAAGAGAAGGGTGCATTTTCCAGAACAAGGGTGCAACCTTGGAAATGGATGCAATAGTTGAGAAAGAGTGAATAGCTTTGTATGGCTTTGTATAGTCCCAAAATAGATATCAAAAGAATCGGAGGCTGAGTTGCTGTTAGCCATGTGAACAAGTCCCAGGTGTCATGAGGAACATCACGGCAACAACCAGGGGGGGACATCAAGAGATATTAAATGAGAGACAACATTGCTGCCTGTTCTCTTTGACAGAACAGCCCCACATGACAGCCACCAACTTCTTCCTGTGATCACAATTTAAAAATGTATTAGTATATTAGGTTACTTTCATTCCAGTTTTATGAACATGTATGATTGATGAATTAAAATTTTGTATATTTGTGGTATAGCATGAGAGATTTCTATACGTATACTTTATGAAATTATAATTAAGCCTAATTAGCATATTCATCATCCTACATACTTAAGAACATATAAAATCTACTCTGTTAGCAGCCATTTTTAAGAATGTGATACGTTACTCTCAGCACACAATAGATCTCCAGACACATTTGGTCCTTTCTAACTGAAACTTTATGCCCTTTGGTCAAAATGTCTCCATCCTCCCTGGGTCCCAACCAGCTCCTAGCAAACACCAGTGTTCTTTTTTCTTCTACAGACAAATGAGCTCTAGCAGTATTTATCTTTTTGTGTCTGTCTTAATTCTTTTAGCATAGTGTTCTTCAGTTAATCCATTATGTTATAAATGATAATATTCAATTATTCTTTGAGGCTGAATAGTATTCTGTGTGTGTGTGTGTGTGTGTGAGACAGATGTGTTTAAATATTTATATCTCACATATTTTCTTTATTCATTCATCTACCAATGGACACTTAGATTGATTCCTTATCTTGGCTCTTGTGAACAATGCTTCAGTGAAAATGGGAGAGCAGGTATCTTTTCAACATACTAATTAATTACATTTTCCTTGGTGGAATTCTGGGATCATATGGAGAACTCCCAAACTATTTTCCCTATTAGGAGTCATTATTTGCTTTCTCACTAAGAGTATACAAGGGTTCCTTTATTCCTCACATCCTCACCAAACTTGTTATCTTTTGTCATTTTTTATAATAGCCATTCTAACAGGCAAGGGGTGAAATCTTACTAAAGTTTTAATTTATATTAGCAATGTTGAATGTTTTACATATGTCTTGCTTGTAATGCTAACATAAAAAGTTGGATTTCATAACTTTGACTTCTCTTCTAATGTTTGATTTAATTTTCATTTTTCTTGTTCTTCAGGTAGTACTGCCAACAAAACTAATGGATGTTGCAAATCACTCTGTTGTGTCAGAATTTGTGTTGCTGGGACTCACCAATTCCTGGGAGATCCAACTTCTTCTCTTTGTATTTTCCTCCATGTTTTATGTGGCAAGCATGACAGGAAACTCCCTCATTGTGTTCACGGTAGCTTCTGACCCTCACTTGCACTCCCCCATGTACTTTCTGTTGGCCAATCTCTCTTTCATTGACTTGGGTGTTTCTTCTGTAAGTTCTCCTAAGATGATTTATGACCTCTTCAGAAAGCACAAAGTCATCTCCTTTGGAGGTTGCATTGCTCAGATCTTCTTCATCCATGTCATCGGTGGTGTGGAGATGGTGCTGCTCATAGCCATGGCCTTTGACAGATACGTGGCCATTTGTAAACCCCTGCATTATCTGACTATTATGAACCCACGAATGTGTGTCTTCTTTTTAGTGGCTGCCTGGGTGATTGGCCTTCTGCACTCTGTGGTTCAGTTGGTTTTTGTAGTAAACCTGCCCTTTTGTGGTCCACATGTGTTGGACAGCTTCTACTGTGACCTTCCTCGGATCATCAGACTTGCCTGCACAGACACCTACCAACTGGAGTTCATGGTCATGGCCAACAGTGGGTTCATCTCGGTGGCCTCCTTCCTCCTACTGGTCATTTCCTATGTTGTCATCATGCTCACTGTTCACAAACACTCATCAGCTGGTTCATCCAAGGCTTTGTCCACACTTTCAGCTCACATCAGTGTGGTAGTCTTGTTCTTTGGTCCACTGATATTCTTCTACACCTGGCCATCTCCTTCCACACACCTGGATAAGTTTCTTGCCTTCTTTGATGCAGTTCTCACTCCTGTTTTGAATCCTATGATTTACACATTCAGGAATCAAGAAATGAAGGCAGCGATGAGGAGAGTGTGTAGACAGCTAGTGAGTTACAGGAAGATCTCCTAAGGATTGCCAGTGTTGTTGAAGCCTCATTAATCATTGAAATGCATTGTGAAGGCCAAATTCTGAAAAAAATTCTTTTTCTTACTTGATTTGATAATGTACACTAATATTGGGTCCATTATGCCTTCCCTTAAAAGGCTTAAAAGGGAAAATCTTCTGAAATTTTTTCCTTCTGAAGAGAGGAGTTACATATGAAGCATCAATATATAGAAATAATAGATTATAATAATCTTGATCATCAATTCCTAAGGAATAGATTTTAATGCAATAGTTATTAGAAATCCATAGGGTTCATTAAGACTTTCAGAACAGGGAGAAATATTTCCCTTGCTGTAATCCTGGATAAGCATATCTCAACTACATTTGCAAAGCTCCTATTTGCAAATAGACTCATACATGTGGGGCATGGGTATTAAGATTTCAACATATCTATTTGGTGGACACAAATCATTCACAACAGTCATATAGATACTCTAGATATCTGAAAAGAAAATAGTTTTAATATACCTTCCTATTTAGAATAATGGAAATACATTTAAATATTTTATAAGTAACTTTTCTCAATGGACTATTAAAAAATTAAAGTCAGAATGTAGCATGAAAAATTATTCCTGTGAGCTATAGAATCTCTGTTAATTAGCAGGATTATGCAAAAGACAAAGAGTGACACTATTTCTAGTTAAGAGAAGAAGCAATAAATTAGTCATGTTATTTTAAAGAAAATATTTATTTATTTGAAACAAAGAAATAGAAGAAGAAAGTGAGAGGGAGAGGGAGAGAGAAATACCTTCCATTTGTTGGTTCACTCCTGAAATGTCCGCAATGGATGTCTGGGGCTTAGCCAGGCCAAAGTCAGGAGCCAAGAGCTTCAACCAGGTCTCTCATGTGGATGCAGGGTCTGAAGTACTTGGGCTATCTTCTGCTGCTTTGCTAGGTGCATTAGCAGGGAGCTGGATCAGAAGTGGAGCAGCCGGGCCTTGAACTGTTGCCCAAATGGGATGAGGGCACTGCACATGGAGGCTTAACATTCTACACCACAGAGCTGACCCTGCCATTCTTTTTTTTTAAACATTTATTTTATTTATTTATTTATTTATTTTTATTTTTATTTTTATTTTTTTGACAGGCAGAGTGGACAGTGATAGAGAGACAGAGAGAAAGGTCTTCCTTTACTGTTGGTTCACCCTCCAATGGCTGCTGTGGCCGGCGTGCTGTTTATGGTGCACCGCGCTGATCCGAAGCCAGGAGCCAGGTGCTTCTCCTGGTCTCCTATGCGGGTGCAGGGCCCAAGTACTCGGGCCATCCTCCACTGCACTCCCGGGCCACAGCAGAGAGCTGGACTGGAAGAGGAGCGACCGGGACAGAATATGGTGCCCCGACTGGGACTAGAACCTGGTGTGCCGGCGCCGCAGGCGGAGGATTAGCCTAGTGAGCCCGGCGCCGGCCGACCCTACCATTCTAACAGAAAAAAACAAATTCTAGTCTGCTTTGAAATAATATTTCAAGAAAACATTCCTAAGATTCTTTTGGGAGTAAAGTTATCAAAAGAGAAGTGTGCAAACTTTGCCAAAATTTTGACATACAAAGGGGCTTCAAAAATTCATGGAAAAATGGAATTAAACGAGATTGTGAACTTCCCATGAACTCTTTGACGCTCTCTATATATTTTCTTCGTTACAGACTCATTATTTACTTCCTGAACTGTTTGTAACTTTGTGTATTCATTGAGTTTTTCTTTTACTATCCTCTTTCACCTTCTGGAATAACCTGACATTTTGTCTTTGGGTGAATCTACCCTTTTTTCTCCTTGATGAATAAAACCAGATCCTATTTACTACCTTATATCATCATATTTTGGGGTACTACTACTTTTAATCTCAGTCATCTGTATTAATTGTGACTTTAACCAAAGTAATTAACTTTTCTTTCACAAAGAATTTTTGTTTAAGAAAACTAGAACCTGACAATATTTAACATGGTAAAAACAGATTTTATTCAGTAACTAATACAATAAGGGTACAGAAACTTCACTTTGGGTTCAATTCCCAATACATCAAATCAGTGGGGATTCATATCTGAGGAGACAAGTGGAAAGAAAATTACTGAGAAGACGTCAAGGGTGGGAGAGTCTCTCTAAACGTATTTAGCAACATTCATGCTTAAATTGAGATATTTAGCCGTAGCAGAGAAGGGAACCACACTTGAGACCTAGTTGAAAAGAGCTCAGTGGAGCTTGACTAAGTGTCGGTCAAGGAGAGGGTCTTTGTCACTTCAAAGGTATAAAATGAGAATTGTTTGACGTGTATAATTATTTTATTAGAGAAGTAAAGCTCACAGGCTCAAAATATAACTCCTCACTGCTACAAATTATCTGCTCCTGTTATAGGCAAAGCATGTTATTGTTAAAGAAGCAGAAACAAATAAGTTTCTCAACATGATCTAACAAAATAGAAACTTTTAAAGGAATAGTAATGCCACACACACACAAATACCACAACCCTCATTAGCAAGATTTTAATATTCATTATGCAATCTCATTTTTAATAGAAAAGTTTTATTGAATAAATATAAATTTTGGAAGTGCAACTTTTGGATTATAGCAGTTCTTCCCCCCATAACCACCCTCCCGCCCACAAACTATCCCATCTCCTGCTCCTTCTCCCATCTCATTCTTCATCAAGATTCATTTTTAATTGTCTTCATATACAGAAGGTCAACTCTATACTAAGTAAAGATTTCAACAGTTTATACAATCTCATTTAAAAACGTTTCAGAGTATTTGCTAATTACTATATATAACACTAAACCAGTCTTAAGACATCTAAGGATCTTAGAAATTATGTATCTTTGTACATATTACAAAATTGTCCAAAGGGTAATTCCAGTTGATTGGAAAATAATTTTGTATTTTTCCTAATTTAAATATATTTAAATTTCATTCTGATAAGCAGCAGATCTATTGCTATTACACTTAAAAGATTATGAGAATAATTGGTGCTGTTCAAGAATTTTTTTTGAGCTGTTCAAGAATTTTAATCATTTGAATTTATATTCTTATATGAACATGCTCTGAGTTGGTACTTTCTAGGAGAATTTTTTTTCTGAGAAAGGTTGATAACTTAAAACAGTGTAAATTCAGTTTTCTTCACTTCTTGGGAATCTAAGGAATAATAGATTTAAATAGGCACTAATTCATCTTTATGAAACAATATAAACAGAAATTTTTGAAGAGGCTTTTTCATTTATTGACATGCCCTTTTCAAAGGGAAAATATTTCACAAATGCACCAGAGAAAAAGACTTCTCAATTACACACACACACACACACACACACACACTCCCAGGTTTAGTTCACAATTACAGATGCAGGCTCTTTTTTGTAATGTTAAATAAGTTATAAAAGGTCATTGTTTTGGACCAGGTTGGTATACTATGTCCCAACAGACTGGACTAATAATCAGAATGGTGTCATTCATGTTGAAGTTCCAATTTTTCAAGCTGAAACTAAACTCTTTTTCTGACCTTCTGAGAAATCAGGATTAGAGAAATAATAGATTTTCCAAGCAGGGCAGTTTCAGTTGGTGCAATAAGGAAGCTCCTTCTACTTTAATCCTTACACAAAAAAGTAACCTACAATAACCTGATGTTAGCTGATCAATTCTTTTGTTCTGTCTGCCTCTTTGTGCCTTTCAGGGACACTAACTTTGAATGATCAGTTTTTTAAACAAATCTTTTTTTCTTTAGCTGTTCTCAGCCATTCTCTGTCTATACAATCAACCTCCCTTGTGAAGCACATCAGGTTATGCATTCTATTTTATAGAATGAAGTGTCTGATTATAGAACCAAAACTAAAACCATGTAAGGGGCAGGCATTTAGCTAATTGGTTAGGATTGGTTCAGTTGCCTCCATCCCGTGTCTGAGTCCCTGGGTTCCATTCCTGATAATCGAGAGTCTTCATTTTCTGTAGACCCTGGGAAGCAGGGGCGATGGTTAACTGGTTGGGTTACTGCCTGCCATCCGGGAGACCTAGATTGTGTTTCTGTCTCATGAATTTGGCCCTGGCTCAGCCCTGGTTATTGTGGGCATTTGGGGAATGAACCAGTGGATGGGTCCTCTGTTAGTCTTTCTTCTTCTCTGTCTGCCTTTGAAATGAAAAATAAAAACCATTTAAGGCCTTTAAGTTTTATCATTTGACAACAAAATAGTTGTGGCTGGTGTTGTGGCTCAGCAGGTTAAACCACCTCTGCCTGTGGTGCTGGCATCCCATGTGGGTGTCAGTTCGATCCCCAGCTGCTCCACCTCTTATCCAGCTCCTTGCTAATGCACCTGGGAAAGCAGCAAAAGATGTCCCAAGTGATTGAGCCTCTTCTGCCCTTATGGGAGAGCCAGATGGAGTTCTAGGCTCCTGGCATGGGCCTGGCCCAGCCCCAGACACTTTGGCCATTTGGGAAGATGGATCTTGCATCTCTCTCTCTCTCTCTCTCTCTCTCCCTCTCTCTGTGTGTGTCTTTCCTCCCCTCATTCTGTAATCTGCCTTTCAGAAAATAAATCTTTGAAAAACAAATGGGGCCAGAGCTGTGGCATAGAGGGTAATGCTGCTGCACCCTACAGGGATGCTGATTTGTGTCCCTGCTGTTCTGCTTCAGTACAGCTCTGTGCTATGAGCCTAGGAAGGCAGTGGAAGATAAATTACCTACCTGGGGCCCTGCCACCCCCGTGGGAGACCTGGATGGAGTTCCTGGCTCCTAGTTTCAGCCTTGTCCAACCCTGGCTGTTGCGACTATTTTTAGAGTGAACCTGTTGATGGAATTTCTCTCTCTCTCTTTCTCTCTCTCTCTTCTGTTTCAAGTAAATAAATCTAAAAACAAAATAAAAAAGCCAAAAAAGTTAAAAATGTAGACAAATACACAAAATCTCACCCTGAGTCTTAGTTGTTCTATTTTCAATGGAAACAAGGCAAGTTCTTATATAAACAGATGTAGATTTTTTTCAACTTTTATTTAATAAATATAAATTTAGAAAGTACAACTTTTGTATTTTAGCGGCTTTTCCCCCCATAACCTCCCTCCCACCTGCAACCATCCCATCTCCCACTCCCTCTCCCATTCCATTCTTCATCAAGATTCATTTTCTTTTTTTCTTTGACAGGTAGAGTTACAGACAGTGAGAGAGAAACAGAAAGAAAGGTCTTCCTTCCGTTGGTTCACTCCCCAAATGGCTGCAATGGCCGGAGCTACACCTATCCGAAGCCAGGAGCCCAGTGCTTCTTCCTGGTCTCCCATGTGGGTGCAGGGGCCCAAGCACTTGAGCCATCCTCCACTGCCCTCCCGGGACACAGCACATGGCTGGACTGGAAGAGGAGCAACTGGGATTAGAACCAGCGCCCATATGGGATGCCGGCATCGCAGATGGAGGATTAACCAAGTGAGCCATGCTGCTGGCCCCATTTTCAATTATCTTTATATACAGAAGGTCAACTTAGTATATACTAAGTAAAGATTTCAACAGAGTGCACCCACACAGACACACAAAGTATAGAGTACTGTTTGAATACTAGTTTTACTGTTAATTTGCATAGTACAAGACATTAAGGAGAGAGATCCTACATGGGGAGCAGGTGCACAGTGACTCCTTTGTTGATTTAACAATTGACACTCTTATTTATGGTATCGGTAATCACCTGACGCTCTTGTCATG